AGCGCTTTGCCCAGAGACTAATGCATAGACAACCTGAGGAAGGAGGAAGGGAGGAAAAAATACCCGCTCAAGTCAAGACATGATTTGAAAGCTGTAGAGGGATGTGCATCTTAAGGTTCTGTAACCTTTGCTATGTGTTCCCCCCAAATCAATAACAGCTGTAATGTGAAATCTGATAAAGAGGATTTCCATCCCAACCAGGGGGCACTCGCAGGAATCCAGACATCTCCAGCCCCCATGGAGACTGGTACCCAAGGGATGGAAGGACACACACTGCTCCAGGGACAGGGCTCGCTATGACCCCTATGGCAGCAAGAGCACATGGAAACCAGCCCGCTGTCGGCATCACACTAACTCCCCTTCCTCTTCTAACCTCCTTTTATCGCCAACAAATGATTTTACTCCTTTTGGTTTTCCATATGTGTACGCATACGTTCTGCTGCCCGGGAGCTTGCAAAGCCGTAAGTCCGCTTTGTCATGACCCCTGCTTCCTCATGGCCTCGGCACATGTGTCTTCTCAAATTCCATTCTATCTGGGAATTGCCCTATTCTAGCAGTTTCAGGGAGCTGGGTGGTGAGAGACTCCTGTAGCTGGACTTTGGACCAAGATTTCAAGAGAAAAAAGAAAGTCAAGGTATCTCTCAGATGGAAAAATACATGAAGATGTTTCTGAGGCAGGAAGGAGACTGGTTTGCCAGAGCAGGAGAGCACGTTCGAGATGGTCTGGAGAATAGTGAAGTGGGGAGAGAGGAGTGACCCTGGTTTACAGCGGGTTTGGAAATAAGGGCCTATTGAAGGCTTTTGAGCAAAGCGCTCATCTGGCCTCTTCATTTTTCCTGCAGCCAAGTCAGCTTTATTTGAACCCTTGATTTGCTTTTACCCAACAGCCAGTTAGCTGCTGTTCTCAGTCTCCCTCTCCACTTGTTCCATCATGCCTATTCTGGGTGACTTGTGCTGGGCTGGAGATCAGAGGTCACCTCTGAGACATACCAGAGGCCATTGTCCTACTGAGAGAGTTTACCAGTCGTTCTCAACCCTATCAGACTCAGTGGCCCCCGTGTTTTAAGATGGGTCTCTGTAATTCTCCCTTTGCTATTTTGAAACGAAATGTATATATAGCATGATGGATCTACATACCCAATTGTATGGGATGAATCTTAGTATCCCCCCTAACTCATATGACCAAGTCCTAACCCCCAGTACCTCAGAATGTGACCCTATTTGGACATAAGGTCTTTAAAGAGGTAATTAAGTTAAAATGAGGTCATTATAAGAAGAGGAAATTTGGACACAGACACGTACAGAGAGAAGACAATGCAAAGAAGAAGATGGCCAGCGATATGCCAAGGACAGAGGCCTGGGACAGATGGACAGATCCTTCCCTCACAGCCCTGGGAAGAAACAACCTTGCCAACACCTTGATCTCAGACTTCTAGCCTCCAGAACTGTGACAAAATAAAGCTCTATTGTTAAAGCCACCCAGTCTGTGGGACTTTGTTATGGTGGCCCTAGCAAACGAACACAATATATGCAATGCCTTCATTGAGATATAAAGAAATAAATGGAATTTAAAATGGACTATGTATTTCCATGTGGAAGTGCTCGAGCACAATGAAACCAAGAGACATAACATTTACACCAACAGTGTGCACCCAACAGCTCTAAGTCACCGCAGAGCACAAATGCAGGCTGGCGTAGGCGGTATGTGGTGGTGGCAACTCAGATACGACATCGCAAGCAACATTACCATTGGCACCTGGTTTTCTCCAAGAGTGGAAAACTCTTGGTGAAGTTCCAAACAAAACAAAGAACAATCTTCTCTCAAATTACATGGTAGTTACGTTCCTGGAAAATTCAACAAATACGTTGCATTTTATTTGTAACCCAGGAACAGATTCTAGATAAATACAGTTTGCATCTATGTGAATGTCCTGTGGAACAGTTGAAAATCACAGGTAGTTCCTCATTTTTCTGTAGACGTTGCAGGACGTCAGGATGTCTAGCACCCCTGGCCTACATCCCTCATTGCCAGGAGGGCATCCACTCATCATGACAACCAAAACTGTCCCCTTATTTCCAAAATACTCCCCAAATATTTGCAAAGTAGGGGTACCACTTTTGTTGAGAACCAGGGAGATACATGAAAATAAAAGGTGTAATTTATGGCAATCTTTTGGTGTTGGGCCAGCCCCACCCCCATTGGCGGCCAGACCCCCCCGCCTGGAGGCCGGAAGCTGGGGACCAGGTCATATGGGACCGGGCAGCAAGCAAGTGGAGCAAGCAGTATGCATCTTCTCAACTGGTATTGTTGAAGGCCTCAGTCTTGACACTGTCCTTAAGCCTCCTGAGTTAAAAGGCTCTTTTGTTTATTTGAAATTCAGAGGCTTCGAGGTACTCCAAGCTGGAGGCTAGCAGCTATGGGCATGCCTTTCTCTCTGTGTGTGTTTTCATGTGTGTGTGGTGTGTATCTAGGGCTAGGGAAGTGCCAAGGCACTGTGGTGACTGCAGAGGCATCAGGGGGCCAGAGAACAGCCCCAGAGAATCATCCTGGCAAGTGCCACTGCTCATCCCCCTGCTCCTGTTTCTCCATCATGGAACGTTCATTGTTGGAGAAAATCACATGAGCCAGCAGTTTGGTTCCACCAGAAAGCTGGGGCTTCTAACCACACCCGGGCCCTCAGCGAGGTGCCGGTCCTCGCTCTGCCTGTCACCTGAGGACATTTCCTAGTGTTTGGTCTCAGTTTCCTCCATTCTCCCCACCACTCACGTTCCACCCTGGTGTCTCAGGCTCCAGAAAGACTTTGGTGTGTTTTATTGAGACAATCAGTATCATTGTCCAAAACAAGTTTCATTCTTTTCAGACCCAAATTTCTTTTCCTCTTGCACAACAGGAAGAAAAGTCCACTGGTGCTGCCTAACACGCACACCTTGCAAGGGAACAAGCTTCACTGGTCAAAGAGCCCGGGTTTCTGCCTTTCAATTGTCTTCTCTACCGCCTCTGCCGGAAGCCATGCTATAGGACTTAGAACCCTTTGGGGGCAACTAGTAGAATCCAAGTTGAATGCACTTCAGCCGAAAGGGATTTTACTCTAAGGAGTTAGGGATGTCCCAAAAATCGCAGTGCTGGGAATACAGTGGGTCTCAGGACAGGACTTGCACAGAATTGCAAAACCATTAGCACTCCTTCCACCCTTCTTTGCGGCTCCTCCCTGCTTCTTTCTGTCCTTTCTGTATACTAGCTCCCTGTGAATTCCTGTCCCCAGGGCAGAATCCCAATGCCAGGACAGAGAGCCTAATTGGCCTAGTTTGGATCAGTTCCAATCGCCTGGCCAACTTCAGCTAAAATGGCTTAACAGAGACAAGATTAACCCTCCTGCCTGAAAAAAATTAAACACAGGAAATAGAGAAACAATGGGTTTTGAACATGGATATCAGGGAGCTCAGGACAATGATCCCCAAGAAGTGGGAAACAGAGAGGGGAGGGCTTATGATTGCCCTGGCTCGCAGCCTGGAGAGTTTCAAGATGGCGACAGCACCAGAAGAGGACCCAGGGAGGGCCCAGTGGTTTCCCTCAGGTGAGAAGACCTAGTTGGGAGGACAAGAAGCCATGGTGGCTAGAGGAGGAGCAGAACGGGATACCAGGGAGTAGAGAGCTGGAGAGAGAGGAGAGAGAGAGAGAACTGGATCCCTGGAGGATCTCCTTGAGTCTTCAGCTGAGTACTGATCAGCACAGGCCTGGCAAGAAACCACCGGAAGCCAGGAAAAGAGCTACCTAAAAGGAGCAGAGGGAACGCTCCTGTGAACTGTCAGGAGGCCTGCAATAGTGTTTCCACCAGTCAGAATGGTAAGTCTCGGAACCCACAAGGTGTCAAGGAAAGGACTCAGAAGAGCATCACCTCAGTGACAGGGAAAAGTTTAGTCCTCAAGCCCACTTTGGTTTTGCCAACAAAGGTTAAAAGCAGACTCGAAAGACTCCAACCGTGTCCAAGTGACTTAACCATGTTCCAGAACAAGGCTCAAGAATCCTTCTGGGAATACAGAAACACCCAGTCCCAGTACCGAACAAGGTAAAATTCAAAATCACAACACCCAATCAACCCTCTGGCCGCAAGGAAAGACGCAGAAAAAAATAAAGAGGAAGGAACACTGTTCTATCTATCTTACCAATTCTATGAACGTCACAGTCACCTCCTCTCCCACCTTAAGGCTATTATTATTTTCTTCTCTACACACCAAGATGTTGTTTGGTTTATTACAACGGCATCCATTACTACTGTTATTTTAAAAGACTTTGTGAACAAATGCATCACTAAACGAGAGTACCAAACAAGAGAAATTGCTGCAGCGCTTCACAAGGGATGCAGGTCTCTTCCTCCCTATCTTCCTTTGCCGCCTTCTCTTTCTGTCTCTGCAGAAAGTCCTCACCTTCTTTCCCTGAATCCCTGGCCTGTCCTTCCCTTTGCAGGCCATTTCACAGAATACGGAATGCATGGCTAGCTTTTTGGTGAAAAACCTTGTTCCTGTCTTTGATTTTTTTTTTTTTAACTGGCAGATTTTAATGTTTCACGTGTACCTCTCAAAGACGGAGTACGCCTCCCCGGCCACCCCCACCCTGGTAGCTCAGGGTCTTTGGTTCTGCCCACTACGCAGCTCCGTGGGTCGGTGGCCCGCGGTGGGTAAAGGTTCCCCCGGCCCCGCTCTGCTTTGCCCCGACCCCACCTGCCCTGTCCTCGGGCAGGCAGACGGCAGCTTCGGCAAACATACATGCACCTCCACTTTGCCTTCGGATGAAGTCGCTCTCTGGCGTGCAGTGTGTGCCTGCTGAGCTCCCCAGGCTGTCGATGAAGTGAGGGGAAGTGGAGGGGAGTCAAGGGAGCGGGGAGAAAGCCCCCGAAGGGCGGGAGAGAAGAGTTACAGCGTCGAAGACCGGCAGACAAAAAGGGCCACTCAGTAACGAGAGGGAGATGCGCGAGTAAAGCGAGCAGACCCCACGTGGACAGGGGGAGGAGAGAGCGCGGAGGAGGCGCGCGAAGGCTGAACTCCCAGGCTGTCCGACCGAAAGCCCGGGCCGTGGGGGGCGCGGGCGCGGGCGGTCCGAGCGCAGGTCCGGGGGCAAGCGTGCCCCTGTCCGCAGCCGCCCGCGATGAGCGAGGCGAGCCGGGTGTGCTCGGGCTACTACAGCCTCAACCACAGCTTCGTGGAGCCCTTCGAGTGCCCCCGGAGCGGCGAGGGGGCCGCCCTGCTCTACTGCTGCGGCTTCGCCGACCTCAAGTACTGCTGCAGCGAGCCGGGCAGCTACTTCCCCTACAAGCACAGCTATATGTGGAGCCTCAGGTGGGCAGGGCGGCGGGCTGGCGGCGGGCTCCGGGGAGGCGACGAGCGGTGCCAGCCCGGGAGTGGGAGGGTCGCCCGCTCGGGTCGGGTCCCTCAGGAAGGACATGGAGCCTCCGAGGGCGGGTGAGGGACCAGCAGACAAAGCGCGCCCGGCTCGGAGCTCCCCCACCCCGGACCCCGGGGCCCGCCCGGTGCTGCCCCCGTCCGGCGAGGGTCAGGCTGTGGCGGCCAAAAGTGTGCGTGGGCCCTGGACCCCGGGCGAGGCTGGCGCGGGAGGAGCTCGGGAGCAGCGCGGGCTGTGCGCCCAGGGCGCACGCGGTACCGGCTCGGCTGGCCCCGCTCAGCCCCGCGCCGGGTCTCCACGCCCGCCAGGGACGAGTTCCAGGCAGGAGGCTCCGCCGGCAGAGAGGAGACACGCAGATAACTTGAGGAGGTTTTCATTCTCTTTTTGGTTTGTTTGGGCATTTGGTGCTTTGAGCAGAAAGGGGACGACTTTGGGACTCATTTTAAGGTATTAACCAAGGGCCAGAGTATTTAAAGTCTCTCTGAGGGTGAGAAGAAATCAAAGAGGTGTGTGTGTGTGTGTACTTTATAATTTGCTCTTTTCAGATGATCCGAAACTGACCCAGAACCGAACTGGAGACCTACAGTAGGCAGGGAAAGTTTTACTTGCTATAATACTCCATAGAACCTTTTTCAGGACACCCCTTTCTTAACACCTGAGCCACTCGGCCATTACTGGAAAGACAAGAGACTTTCTAAGGTGGAGTCTTTCTTGCCTCTTTTTCCTATGATGGGAATTTTACTTATTCCACCTAGTATTTATGCAGATATTTTCACTGTAAAATGCTTTCTGCGCCCCTCCCCCGCCCCAAGATTGTAACCTTTGAACTCCACTCTTTGATTTTGCCTGGAGAATGAATGTGAAAGAATTCCAAACCCACCTTCAGTTGTTTCGCACAAACTAATTAGCTTATGCCTGACAAGAGAGAGATTCTGCTAGTAAGCGGAAGAGTGGTGTTTCTCTAATCCTCTAGCATGATCCAGAATTTGTCACACATGTCCAGTCCACAGCAACTGACTTTAAATGTTATTTCTTGAGGCAGTAAAATAATTTTTCCAAAAGGTATTGCAAGCGTCAAAAAAATCTCAAAAGGAGTGCCACTTACCAAGAAGTTCAGCTAACAACATTGTGTTGTGCCGGAGTGGGGCATAATCTTGCAAAATAATGGCAGCTTACCCCTCTCATTTGGAGAAGTAATCAGTATTGCACTGGCATATTATCCGGCCTTTTGGAAAATAGCATAGTAACCCAGCTCTGAGTCCTTGGAGGTGTTAATAATGGTGGCAGCACCTCCGACAGAGACTGGCAACTCTTAAGTCAAACTCAATTGGAAAAGTGCCTGGGATTCTCAGATCCTTGAATAGTTCCAAAGTGACAGGCAGCAGAGGATAGGTTTATGAGGGCACGAAGAATGAATAGCTTGCCGGGTCTTCATTCAGCACGGACACAACGGACAGTATAGCTCAGTTCCTAGGACACACAAAAATCATTTCAACTGAGAGCATCTGTCGGCAATGTTAAACCTGGGGATCTTGTTAGTTATTGAGCACTGAGAACACAATGGGGAGGCAAAAATTCAGCGCTTCATCTCCCTCACATTCTTTGCTCTTCGCCCAAATTGAAAATAGTCCAACTGCGAAAAATATTCCCGAAGTCACTAGCAGTTGTTCTGAGATTCTGCAGCTGCTGGAGAAAGGCACAGCACAGCTACTCCGAGGCAAGCAAAGGTGCTGAGTAGGAGAACTGCGGCGTGAACAAGGCAGCAACTTCAGACCCCCCCGCAGGGACTGGAAAGCCGACTGCCATCCCGGTGCTGGGAGGAGAGGATAATTCTCCCTTTCCTGCGTCTGGCCCACCACAATCTTTGCTCCTTCTCCAAATCCCTACCCTCTCGGGGCTTCCTTTGGTAACCTGCTTCAGGACCTAGGAAAATGATGCCAGTTGCACAGGGCAAAACATGAGTTCAGTAAGCGGTTGTCAAAAGGACTATTTTAGGAGATTCCTGGAGTTTCATCTTTATCTAGAGTTTTGTACGCATGAAGCAACGCTTCTATAAAATGGAACTGTGATACAAGCTGTCTGTCCAGATTATGAAGGTGGTGTTAATAATGGTGGCAGCACCTCGGACTCCCCATTGTGTTCTCAGCGCTCATTAACCAACGAGATAAGGGATAAGCTGCCATTATTTTCTTTAATTATAATAGAAAGCAGAAAGAGAATGCTTTGTTTTTCCTACAAATCATGTGATGGGCTTTTAAATTGTGTACATTAAAAGCTCACAGTATGCATGTTGAATTTAATTAGGTTGACAATTTTACTTTTAAATGGACTAAATTACTTTTTACTTGGAGCATTTTTTTAAAAACCGGTTCTCATTTCAAGAATCTTTCTAGATGTGTGGCAGCCTAGCTGTCTTGTGCAGCGGATAATGTTAATTAAGTGGCTTATGTTCCCCTGTGTCTGTGCGTAGTCCTAACCCTCCCTGATGTATATAATCTACAAAAGTCAGCTTTGGTGCCAACAAACATGAAAGAGGACTTTCCAGAGCCAGGGAGTCTCGCCCTTGGAAGAGAGTGCACAAGTGAGGGCAAACTCCAATTTAAATATAAAACATATATTGACTTTAGCCACAGAATTATCCAGTCTTCACTGTGTGCAGGGCTAGGGGGATTGGGCTGACATTAATAAACCAAGCACAAGTATCTTTGGAGGTCTCACTCCACTCCTTTGTGGCCAAGGAGGCAATCTCTAAATGGCAGGGGGCTTTATCTCGTAAAATCAAGGATAAATGGGATGAGCTTAAGCACCTCCCTTTTAATGCTGTTCTCCTTTTTTCCAGAACCCTAACACACCTAGCCTCCCTGGTCAGATTCTCCCCTCCTTCTCTTTGGTACTTGTCAAACTTGTCGGGGCCCTAATCTCTAGGAAATAGCAGAAGCCTGCAGGCAGGCCAGGACGATGATGAAGAAAAAGGTCATTACTTGTCAATGACCATTTCAATGATGATTACTCTTCAGTGATGATTATACCATGATTTACTTCCCCCCCTTTTTTTTTTTTTAGAGTCGGGGGAGGGGAGAAGGGACAGAGGGAGAGAATCTCAAGCAGGCTCCTCACCCAGCCTGAGCCTGTCTAGGGGCTTGATCTCACCACCCTGAGATCATAATTTGAGCTAAAATCAGGAGTCGGAGGCTTGGGGCGCCTGGGTGGTTCAGTAGAGCTTCACTACTTTTGCACCAGTCAGTATTTTTCTATTCATTTTTTGTGGGTGAACACGATTTTTCCTTCTAAAATATAATTTTTTTTTAAGATTTTTAAAAAAATTTATTTATTTGACAGCGCGAGAGAGCACAAGCAGGGGGAACAGTAGAGGGAGAGGGAGAAGCAGGCTTCCCGCCAAGCAGGGAGCCCGATGCGGGGCTCGATCCCAGGACCCTGGGATCATGACCTGAGCCAAAGCAGACGCTTAACCATCTGAGCCACCCAGGTGCCCCTAAAATATACTAATAGAGGTTTCTTCGACTGAAATATCTTTAAACTCGCCCGGGAGAATCACGTGACCTTTCACCTGCCATATGAGTTCACATAGTTTTCTATACTAATGTTAACATATAAATGTGTAAAGAAAATAGAAGAATTTGATGAAAGCAAAAGGTGAGCTATAGATTTCAATCATGTACTGTTTATACTAAAATATAGTTTGGCTAGGAATGACTGAAGCAAGGATGAACAATCTTCAGACCTTCTCTCTAGTGTATGTGTAAACCAGTGAGGATGTTCTTCCTGTTTCTTCAGCATCGGTGCCCTGGTTGGACTGGGAACTGCTGCCCTTGTTCTGCTTGCCTTTGTCGTCAGCGTCTGTGTCCTCTGCTACTTATTTCTGTCTACAAAGCCTCGAAAGTTAGACACTGGCCTTAAACTTCAGCACCTCGAGGCTTCTTCCACTCACGAAGGTAATCCGCATCCATTATTTGCAGCCAACTTCCTGCACTCTGTTCAAGAGAATCACCTGTCCCTGGGTGACACACCATCCGGTGAGCCATGAATGCTTTTTAAAAATTCAACTCATTATGTGCCTTTATAGAAATTCATAGGAAATTAGGCATTAATGCTGAAATACCTTTGAGAAATTGGGCCAAAGGACAGAAGAGGGGCAGGATGAAAATGTTCTCATGAAAAACTTGTTCTCATGGATCCACTAAATCGCTCTACTGTATTTAAGGCTGTCAGTTATAAAGGTTTTAGCTTCATGGAGTTGTTAAATTTTGTTTGTGATAGAGCCAAAGATGTAGAATAAATAGAGGAGCAAAATATCTGATAATTAATTCTCAGGGTTGCATTGCTCAAGATGGGTCAGTCGGTGGGCAGCTGAGCATTCACCTGGGTGCCTGAGAGCTGCAGAATTCAGAGGAGGTACCTAAAATATCTCAGAGGCATACAAAAGGAATAGAAAAACAGGAAAGGTAAATAGAAGACCGTCTTTGTTCTTGAATAGATGACAAACTAGTTAAGGTATACGTGTGTGCAGGCGCGCATGGAAGAGTGACTATAAAGTAGAAAGAAATGTTTATGTATAGTTTGTGGAACTGGGATTCATTATCTCAGTTACAAAGTGCCACACAAATGCTAATTGCTAGCATTATGAAATTCAGTCAGAAAGAATTGTTATGATTTTTGTGAATATAAATTTCTGTTAGTGTATTTAAAAAGTAGTAGTCATAAATTTTTAGATATATAGAGCGTATTTTAATAAAAATTTAGAATATATAAATAGAATCTATCTAGAATAAGATACAAGTGCTCAGTAACTTCTATTTAAAAAGAGAATGAAAAAGTTTACTTTAAAAATTTTTGGAAAATCACCTGCTCAGATGCTCTCTTTCGGCTGAACTCTGAAACTTATATTTCTGGAGTACATGCTCTGTGACCTTATCAAATACAGTTGCTGAATGATCGCATTAGCTCTACTTTCCTTTTCTGTAGAGGAGGTCTCTCTCAGAGGGCATCCTGCGTCACAGAGCAAGAGGCCAAGCTCCCTTAGCAGTTCTTTCTCTGAAGCACTGTTTGGAACTGTGTGGCCGAATTGACAGGTTGTTAGTTGAATTTAGTCCAATGGCTTAGATCCTGTTTCTTCACAGGCAAAATGAAGCAGTGGATTAGTGACTACCAAATCATTAGATCTTAAACTCAGTTTGTTTTTATATTATTTTTATTTATTTTTATTTTTTATTATATATGTGTATATATATATATAAACATATGTATATGTATATACATACAATGTATTATTTGTTTCAGGGGTACAGGTCTGTGATTCATCGGCCTTACACAATTCCCAGTGCTCACCATATTACCTATCCTCCCCAATGCATAAAATGAATTTTTGTCTCAAGTGCTTAGATAATTTAACGTGGACATTCTTAAATTTTACTATACATAAGAATCACCTAGGGATTTCGTTAAGACCGCAAACTCCAGACTCTGCATTTTAAAACAAACAGCTTCCCTTCCCAGCTAAGTAAGCCCTCGCTCCCCTGCTGTCTACTCTCCACAAAGCAGCCAAAGTGCGCCTGTTACAAGCTAAGTCAGGTCTTGTCATTCCTCTGCTAAAAAATCCTAATTGCTTCCCATCTCTCTTGTTAGATACAGAAGTCTTAACTGGGACCTACCAGGGCTTCTGTGGTCTGCCCTCTCCGCCCCCATTTCTCTCATCTCCTGTGCCCAGACACATTGGCCTCTTTGCTGTTCCTTGAAACTCCTCTGCCTCAGGGCCTTTGCATGTGCTGTCACCATTGTCCAGAAGGCTTTTCCCTCAGATACCCATATGACTTTCACTTTCTTTAAATCTTTACTAAAAGTCACCTTCCTAGGGAGTTCTTCCCTGGTCACCATATCTGGTGACTTAACTCCCCTTCAACATTTCATACCCCCTTCCTGTTTTATTTTTCTCCTAAGCATGTGGCACTAATATACTATATAATTTAGTTACCTATTGTCTTAACTTTTCTCCACTCCAACTGGAAAGTAAGTTCCAGGAAAATAATAATTTTCACTTGTTTCCTCACTACTGTATCCCTACTGCCTAGAGCACTAGCAATGTTTGTTGAATGAATTGAATGAGTAGTGCTACACCTTTATAGTAGGTGATCACAGGAGCATCTTTATTGTCCCCTCTAGAGGTATCAGACAATCATTGAATGTCTCCTCTATGCCATGTGTTGTGCTAAATAGAAGTTGGTTGTTTTTCCTGGTTGATCTCAGGGACTGCCCCCAAATGTTATTTCATGTTGGCTCTGAGAACCTAGCAACAGAGTTAGCTGGCTTGTTGATTCGAGTCTTGTAGTCTCATTGCTGTTTAGCTAAGGAGATCCATTGATGCACTTCTGAGGTAGTTAGAGGAAGCTGCTTTCTTGCATTGAAATGTCTCCTCTCAAAAACATTGTTTATCAGGCCAGCAAATTAACTCCAGACACCTTTTCCTGAGTGCTTGCTATTGACAAGGCAGGATTTTATATGATCGCTGCCTTCCTGCTGCTTTCCAATGAGGTGATTTTGGTCCTTTGGTTTGATTTTAACCAAATCAGACATGGTGCAGAGCCCAAAACAAAATAGGTAATCGAAATGTCACTGAAATAGGAAGAGAAAAACGGTTTATATTTGAAAGTGACCCTTTAGAGTGAAAACATTGTGGTGCTGTTGTGAGGTGTCATGCTCTGTTCCAGTGATTCTCCCACCTAGGAATAGGTTCCAGTGTTCTAGCTATTAAAAACAAAAAGTCTTTATTCCACTTAAGGGATGCCTTCAAGGTCAAGGATAGTAAAATGTTTGCAGAAGAACCAAGTAGGTAAACATTACATCAGAGGAAACCGGTTTCATCTTCTTTCAAAATGATCTGTTCTTGGGGCACCTGTGTGGCTCGGTCGTTAAGCGTCTGCCTTCAGCTCAGGTCATGATCCCAGGGTCCTGGGATCGAGCCCCGCATCGGGCTCTCTGCTAGGAGGGAAGCCTGTTTTTCCCTCTCCCACTCCCCCTGCTTGTGTTCCTGCTCTCGCTCGCTCTCTCTGTCAAATAAATAAATAAAATCTTAAAAAAAAAAAAAAAGATCTGTTCTTAAGAGTCGACCTCCCATTATTTTGCATTAATTTTTATAATTGAGACTGTTTTCATTACAGGCAATTCAAATGGCCTAAAGGGAAAAATGTCTTTGTGCACATTCTAAAACTGACCTAGGGCACTGAACTTTTCTGTTTCTATAAAAGACAACCGTCTAAGTCTAATCTTAGGCAGTTGTGCCAAGGTTTTTCCCTTGTGTTTCTTTATTCTATTGGTCTTTTTTTTTTTTAAGATTTATTTATTCATTTGAGAGAAAGAGCGAGAGCATGAGTGGGGGTGGGGGTAGAGGGAGAGGCCTGAAGGAGAAGCAGACACCCCGCTGAGCAGGGAGCCCAGTTCAGGGCTGGATCCCAGGACCCTGGGATCATGACCTGAGCCGAAGGCAGACGCTTAACCGACTGAGCCACCCAGGCACCCCAAAGATTTTTTTTGTAAGATTTTATTTATTTATTCATTTGAGAGAGCAAGAATGAGAGAGAGAGAGAGAGAGAGAGAGAGCACACGAGAGGGGGGAGGGTCTGAGGGAGAAGCAGACTCCCCGCCGAGCAGGGAGCCCGATGCGGGACTCGATCCAGGGACTCCAGGATCATGACCTGAGCCGAAGGCAGACGCTTAACCGACTGAGCCACCCAGGCATCCCCTCCTTTTTAATGTATACAGTTTAAGCCTTTATACGTTTTGAATTGATCCTGAAAACAGCAGGCCGCTGGGAGCGCCTGCACAGGTTCACTGGGCTACCTCCAGGGCTCGCTTTGTGCACAGAGGCTGTGGCTAGGAAATTGATTGCCTTTAAATTGTATCCCATCATCTTTTTGTTCCCTTTTTTGTGTGTTGTGAGCTATGTGTGTTTCAAATGCCAGCGTTTAAAAGAAGCCCATTGCTTGTGGGCTGTAGAGGTCTGAGACGATGACCGTGTGAAGGGCATCTTTCTGAGCAGACCCTCCTGAGGGGGGGTCTCATTTCATAAGCTGTAGAAGAATTAATGGCTAAGAGAGAAGCAGTTAGCAGGCTGAATGTCCCAGATCCCTGCTTCTCAAACTCTTCTGCTGGAAAATCCTTAAAGGGGAATGAGAAAGGAACCTGCACCTCCAGAATTCCAGGGGCTAGACTGGAAAGACTTGCCTGAGGCCTGTGAACTTTAAATTATTTGAAGTTTCATTTTATTTTTATTTTTTTCCCATCTTATTTTTAAAATTTACGTCACTGTTCAATTTGGCTGAATGTAATGGCTTGTTTTACTCTAATAATAACATCTTCTCCTTCTCATATCTGAAGAAAATTGGTGCTCCAGGAAGATCAAGCACATCCACCCTGTGGTTTTGAGCATCCACTGACACTCGGGGTTGCGGAGGGAGGGGTGGAGGCCTGAGGAGAGGGGCTGTTGGAAGCAGAGTTCTGGATGGAAATTAAAAGGGCGGGGGCGCCTGGGTGGCTCAGTTGGTTAAAAGGGCGGACATTAGTAGAGCTGCTTGGCACAAATAAAATAATACAGTTGGATAGAGATAATAGACAACTCCAAGCCCCTGTATCTGGTGGTCTCTTTTGTAAAGGCAGGTGATATAAATGAAAAAGGGTAAGCAAATCCTCAGTAAGGTGCAGCTGTCTAGGAGAAAAACATAAATTACATATGGAATACTGAGAAAGCACATTTGAAGATCACATAATTGTTTCTTCTACCCATTAAGCAAAACATGACTCGGACTGGCTTAGAATGGTCTGCTCTATTTCTTCTTTTTAGAAGAGTCACCTAGAAAGAAAAACCTTTCTTTCAATTCGCTTTTATTGATGGAAAATTAGAAAATACAGAGAAACAAACAAACAGTGTCTTCCGTGATTCCACCATACAGAGATGAGGGTTATGAACACTATGTTGAATTCTTCCATGGATTTTTGATATGCAGCTCTCCATACATGACCATAA